CTCCAAAAGGGCAGGGTTTCTTGTGTTGAACAAGAATAATGCCTAGCACTTCGTAGCCACTGAACAAGAATGCATTCACATCATCTCTGATCATGATGGTGGAGGGAAAATATTTTAAAACTAGCTATGCAGATAAGGTTATATTAATTAGTAGAAATGGTTTCTCTATGCCTTAATAACAATATTACCTTCAAAGGTTTTATTTGATTTAATGCCATTTTTAGGAGTCCAGAACCTTTTAAAACTTTATTTTTATCTTATGAGTATTTTGTCTGCATGTGTGTAAGTGCACCTGTGTTGTGCGATGCTCATGGAGGTCAGAAGAGGGCATTGGATCGCCTGGAACTGGAGCTATGGATGGTTGTTAGCCACCATGTGGGTGCTGGGAATCAGAACCTAGGTCCTCTGGAAGAGCAGTCAGTGCTCTTAACTGCTGAGCTATCTCTCCAGCCCCTGGAGTCTTGAACCTTTAAGGACATCAGTGAGACACATATCAAGTTTGAAATCAGTGCCCTTGGTTGTCATAGTAATTGTAGCCGGGACCATTGTCCAGCTCATTGGTGCAGGTGCTTTGTGACCACTATCTCATTTAATTCTCAAAATGTGTCTGTGGACTATCACCTCAATTTACAGATGGGTGTGGTTTTAATATCTCTAAGTTCTCTTTAAAATAGAATTGAATTTGTTTCTCTCCAGTGTGGCCTTGCTTAGTGACCAAATTCTAAAGAACATACCGGAAGCGACAGTGTTGGGTGACCACAATAAGATTTCCAGAGCATTGGGTCTTCCTCCCCGCACTCCAGTGTCACCAAACCTGGGTCTTAGTGTCCTTATCTTTGAAGTGAGGGACGTTGACATGATGTGGAGTCCAGCTGTTCAGCATCAATGTCAAGTGGCCTTAGCAGGTACAGTTAACAGTGGATCACATGCCATTCCATGCTTGGAGTTTCGTTAGATTTGAGGACTGTCTTAGTTTCTTTACCTGTTGCTGTGAGAAAATATTCTGACAAAAACAAGTTAAGGGAGAAAGAGTTTATTTTAGCTCCCAGTTCCAGAAATAGTCCGTCATGATAGGGAAGTTGAGGCATCAGGGGCTTGAAGCAGAGGGTCACATTGCCTCCATGGTTGGAAGAAGAGACCAACGAACGCATACCACTGCTCAGCTTGTTTTCATCCTTTTATGCAGTCCAGGATCCTGTGCCTGGGGAATAGACCAGTCCACAGTTAAGATGGGGTCTTCCCACATCAGATGGTTTAATCAAGATAAGTCCTCATAGGCATGCCCGGTGGCCCAGGTGATTCTAGATCCTGTCAAATGGACAATTACCACTATTGTAGGGACAAAGCTGGGAACAATGTCAGGACAGTCAAGTGACCATAGAGAGTGACCCCTGGTCCAAGAGCTTTGGCTTCCTGACAGCAATCATGTGAGAGGCCATCTTGGAGGCCGGTCCTCCAGCCCCAGTCAAGCCTTCCATGGACATAGACCTAATGAACTTTTTGACTGCAATGTCTTGTGAGATCCTGAGCCAGAACCACCAAACAGGCTGCCGCAGGTCATAAACCACAAACTGTGAATTCTCAAATGCATTTTGTGTTGAGCCATTAAAGGTGGGGATAATTTATTATGCTGTAATACATTTACATACATAGTACATCTGGATATGAAAGGACACAGAGACGAAGAGCCTTATGTCAGATAGCTAGTAAATATGGATGCAAGAACCAGAAACATAGTCAGGACATTGCTAGAGGCCCCATGTTCAACTACTGCACAGCACCAGAGGTCAAGTCTACGGTTGCACTAGGAGCATGTTGCTTCGGTCAGGGCAGTGGCTATAGTCTTCTTTGGCTGTAAACTGGCTGGCCTGGCTTTATTGGAAGGTCATGCTTGGCTGCTGCCTCCATTGCTTCTAAGTTCCCATTCTGTCCCAGACTTGTTCTGGTAAATACTGCGCCTCTCTCCATCCATCGTTCCACCCTCTCTCTGTCATTCTTTTCACTCATCCCCACTCCCAATCATGTAATTTTGATTAAACTGCCAATCAGCATATCCATCTACCTCATAAGACGGCTTGTGACTTAAGCTTGGCCAATTGTCAGTGACTGACTATAGTCATTGGGTCAAATAAAATATGAGGTTATGAGTCAATCAGAGTCATCCCTCTGGATTTATAAATAGCTCATAAGGTGAGGGGAGCTGCCAGGTGACGTGGAAGAAACCTATTTTCAACAAGTAAAATACCACCAGACAGAAAGTAACAGAGAGTGACATAGGCTATCTTATATCTCTTGTGACCTTGAAGCCAGCCAGTCTTGAGGGCAAGTCTATCTTTCTGAATCCATGTGATCAGAGTGAGGGGTCTACCCCAGTTTGTGGAAGATGGTGGCATGCTCCCACTTTCCACGCACAAGAGTTGTCTGTCATCCGAAGAACTTGGAGCAGCACTGTCCAGAACGTGAAGACCCTTCTCCCTTTGTCTCTCAGGAAGCATCTGTGTTCCCTGGAAGCCAGAGGTGGTCTGGGGGATAAACACAAAATAAAATTGGGTGATGTCAGGTGGGCGGCTCAGTCACAGGTCCAAATCTTAGTCATCTGTGTATCCTTTCTTCCTTTAACTGCTCACCCCTCCCCCAGTCCTCCACGTGCACACATCCTGTTAGTCATCAGGCCTGGTTATCTGGCTCAAACGTTGTGGAAGTAGGAGGAGCAACCATTATGAGAGTTAGAGTCCTTTCTTCCTTGGGAAAATCTGGCAAATCCCGTTTTACCTCTTTATTTTATTGCTACCATGGAGGACCACCACAATCGGTCTCCCTGCCTCTTGCCTCAACCTCTGAGTCTATTTCTCCTAGTTCTAGAATTTTCTTCACTACCACCTGCCTTTGGCCCGCTGACCTGCTACATCACAAACATCTTGGCTAAGTGCTCAGGACCCTCCATGAGCTGACCCATTTTCAATATCCAAGTTCCTGTGACCACCACAGATTTATTTTGCATCCTTGTGCCGTTGCAGGCCTGCCTCCTTTCTAGCCTGACCTCCTTCCTAGACACAAACCGACGAGTCTTTCCTTTTCTATGCGTTCTCAAGATTCTTTGTCTTATCTCCATAAAGTATCTGGAGCATGCCACTCCTCAGTGAAGATCCCCCCTTCCCCAAACTCTGTAAACAGTTGGCGTCTGGTGTCTGACTAGGGTATTTCACATCTCATTCCCACTGTTAGGAGTATGTGGCCAGCACAGGTCAAGTTTGGGTGCATGTGCTTTTTTTTCCAAACAACCAATTATGTTTCCAAATTTGACTGAGCACATTATTTCCAAACCCAGCTTCTTTCTTGCCTTCTCTACTTCCAAATGGCATCTTCAGATGATGGCTGGTGTACCTATTTTTGCCAACAAATTAAGGATTATTCAAGTTTGTTTAGCTACCTACAGATTGGGGGGTTGCTTATTATTAATTGTATTATTTAAAATGATGGTCATTGGGGAAAATATCAGTTATGAAGCAGGAAGAGAGCCCATTTCCAGAGTCTCTAAACCAAAAACATTCTTGAGTTTATGTCCACAACTTTGCCATTTTCCTCTTCACTATTTTAATGTAGGATTTGCACTAGAAATTGGAACATGATTCGTTGTTTTGACATAGTCTGACAAGCAATCGTTAACCACTCTCCACCTGGAACAGTGGTAGAAGTTTGTGACACGTAGACAAGCCCCTGCAGTAGTTTTCCAGGTGGCTTCTGTGTGAAATGACATTCCAGGCAGAGGGAACAGCATATGTAAACTCACATGACTTGATGTTTACCAGACACAAAAACTTTGTGGTCTGGATTCTCTGGAATTTTTTTTTAAACTGAAAATTTTTGGTGACTTTTCAAAGTTTGATCATGTTGGATCAAATCATCCTTTTGGTCCACTTGCCATGTCCCTTCTCCAGGAGGTGAGACCAGGGTCCAGATTTAGACACAAATGACCTTTCCTGAGTTCCCTGGGGGATGCTTAGGCCACCCAATACGCACATAGATCCTCCAGGAGCTTATCCAGCAGCGTCCATGAGCTGTCCTTTAGAAAGGACGGCAGGTGACCTGCCCACAGGCTCGCATCAGGAAGTGACTTAGGGAGGATATTATGTCCACTACACATCTGGAGCAAAGGACCAGATGGGCATTTGGAGGGGGAGTGAAGACTCCCACCCCCAACTTCGGAACACCTCCAGGTTCTGAGATAGCTAACTTATTTTATAGGGAGACACCTCCATATGCCTGGTCCCTCCTGCTCTGTAGCCTTGTACATAGCACAACTCCTGTTGGGTCATTGACGGTCCTGTTCCTGTTTATGTGCATGACTCCTCTCACCCACGGATTCAAAGTCCACTGTGGGCAGGGTCTCGCTAGAAGCTGTGTGGAGACATGCCGTTGGGTGGACTTTGGGAAATGTTTGTTGATTAATGGATGAGTGACTCGATAGGGGCTGGAGGGTTGCTGAGGGAAGACCTCGCCTGGCCCTAGACACTTGGCAGTGTTTAGTGGGGATGGCCACGCTGTCCTGGCCCTCCATGGCGCCTCTGGATGGGCCATTTCGTCCCCGGTCCACTTCTCACCAATCCACCCGGGAAGGAAGGGCCACGCAGCCCGAGGGCCAGGCCTCCCAAGGCGGCTCCTGGGGGAGGGGAGGAGAAGGTGGGGGACCCCTGGAGGGGGTGGTAGCCCTCTCGGGGTTGGGGGGGCCATGCAGGTAGAGCCCCGCCTCCCCGGCCGCCCCTTCGCAGCCCGGGGCCGTGCTCGCCCGGTGGGCACCTGGCTCGGGCACGCGTGGGGCCGCCGCAGCGCCGCGCGCCAGCCGGGTATTGAAAATCACTTCCCCCAAAACATGTTTTGCAGCAGCAACAGAGCACTAGGAATTTCCTGTGGCTAGGCAGCCCAGTGCCGACAGGGGTGGAGGCAGTGCTGAGCAATCTAGCTCCTTCCCTTGGCTCGGGGAGGGCCACGTGCCCCCGCTGCCCGCGCTCGCGTGTCGCCGCCGCCGCCGCCGCCGCCGGTTACGCCAAGCCCCGCCGCCGCCCGCTCGGATTCTGCGCACAGGCAGCCCCCGAGCCTGTCATTCTGCAAAAACACAGTTTACTCCACACGCCGCACACCCTCGCGCGCACACCCAGACACGCGCGCGCACACGCACACACACTCACACTCACGCGCGCGCGCACCCCGGGGCCCCCGCGCGCACACGCACCGGAGGGCGCGAGCGAGCCAGACGCGCACACCCGGCGAGCCAAGTTCCGCAGCCTGGCATGGCTTCTGGGGACCTTTACGAGGTACGGGGACGCGGGGGCGCGGGCGGCGGCGGGGACCGGGCTGGGCCGGGCGGAGTTCCGAGCCCGCGGGAGGCGGCGGCGGGAGGCCGAGGACGGCGGGGACCCACGCCTCCCGCGGCGCCCGCTCCCTCTTTCTCTTTCTCTCGTGCACACACTCTCTTACTCCATCTACTTTGCGGCCTTGGAGTGGGGAAGGAGGAAGCCGGGCGGAGCCGGGGCGGAGGGAAGGTAGCGGTCCCGGGGAGGTGCTTCCTCAGCCCCGACGAGCCGCCCCGAGTGTGCAGAAAAGTACAGGTAAAAAAAAAAAAAAAGTCAGCGCCGGACGTGCGAGGGAATGCGGGGGGCCGCGCTGCGCACTGCCCTGGAGGGGTGCGGGCCCCTCTCCCAGAGGGTGCGCGGGCCCAGGCTCAGAGGGGGAGTGGGTGGGAGGAGAGGACGGGCGAGCGTCTCGGAGCCGGAGCCGGGGTGGTGGAGGTGGCGGTGTGGGGGGGTGCAAAGGGGAAGGCTGATGGGGGGCTCTGCAGACACCCCGTCTTGCAGCTCTCCCCGGCCCCCGCCCCCCACCTGCTGCCTAGCCCCCAGTCCCGGGGAGGGGGGGCTCTGGGGCCCTCCTGGCTGGGGCTTCAGGGGAGGTCCCTGTGGGGTGTTTGGCCCTCTGGGTTTGAAAAGGGGGACGCTGTAGAGGGACACCCCCCTCCCCCCCGTGGAAGGGAAGTGAACTTGGAAGTCAGAGGTGGGCAGTCACAAGTTGCCAGAGGACACCCTCTCAGCCAGACTCCTGGAGTGGTACCTGTCTCCAAGGCCACACAAATAGTAGCCAGCACTGGATATTTTGAAATCAGTTAAAATGGTGAGAGAGGACATTCACCTGTCACCTTGCAAACAAGGGAGAATACCCATGGTCTCTGGGGAGCTGGGGCTTACCTAGCCCTGGAACCACAACTGTTCTTAGGATTTGGACAAGCCGACAAACAAGAAAGCACCACTTTCCCCTGGGGAGGGTGCCCCCAAAGGGGTGCTGACGCTCAAGAGGTTTTGGATGAAGAAGCCAAAGAAGCTGGCTACCCTCAACCAGGAGGCCTGTTGATCCTGCCAGAGACCTGTGTCAGGGGTCAGCTGGGGCCTGTCCACCCTGGATAAATCGCTGTAGGTCTCAAGGTTGTTGGCCAAAGTTTTTATGATGACCTGGAAGGGATAGAGTTGACCTTTGAGTTAGTGACAGCAGGGGTATTTTACCCTCAGCAAGCTTGTCCTCTGGGCCCTGGTGGACAGCCTAAGCTAACACTGTGGATTTGCTGAGGATGTGAGAGGAGCCTGAAGAACAAACCAGTCAGTTCTTAGCCTCCCTTGCGTTGGGAGCCTCTGGATGATACTGGGCTTGGTAAGTCCCAGTGATGGGTTCCTGTCAGTCAGGCTCAGGTGGAGCCCCAGGACCATCTTAACACTCATCCAAAGAATGATCTAAGTTGCCCTATGGCCTTCCTTACCCCGGTGCTAGTAGAGGAGACTAGGATGGACAGAAACCTGGGAGAAACATTTCCCCAGGTAGCTGCTGGGCCACCCAAACTCAACGATCTCTTTCAGGATGGCAGAGCGGTTTCTGAAACTAAAAGTCAAAACACAGCAAAGTAAGAAAGTTAAACTGAGCTCTTTGAAGTGTAACCAGTACTTCCCAGGACACTGGCTAAAAGGAGATGCCATTTAGGGTCCAAACAGCTTGTTAGGGTGCTGGAATTTTCTACCCACCCGTGGTGAGTTGTCTTAGAACTGCTGACCTTGCCTGGGTGACAGGTGGCCTTGTGAAGGCATTAAGTGGACATTGTAGGAGACATCAGTACTTCCCCATTTGAAGTCTGAGACATATGAACCTTCTGGGGCTAATTTCTTGTTTAATGTTCCTCTGAAACTGCCCTCCTTAACATTGGTAATTATAGTTGCCAGATGAGTCTGCGGAGATGGGGCTTTCCATCAGAGCCTCGAACTCTCTCAGTACCTCAAGAGTTGTTATTGGAATCCAGTAAGCAGGACAGTAATAGTAATAGAAATAATAATTCTGTGATCGTAGGTAATTGTGCTAGATATAAAATGGTTTTCCGGCGGCTGTTTATTTGCATAGCCATTACTAAAGGGTTAAATTACATTATGAGAACATAACCAGTATCAATGTTTTTGTAGCCTGTGCCTACATTACATATACTAAGGGGTTTCATTTTTGGTTCAAATTTAACTTAACGTGCCAAGTCTACATCTATTTCTAACTGTAAAATTGTTGTATGCATTAAAAATAGCATGCTTATTTAAGAGAAAGTTGGAATATTTAGTACAATGGCTGACCTTGAAAGAAATAAAAAAGAAGTGCTCTCGTTGTAAATAATGGTATTACCTTAATTAAATATTGTACTTGAATGTATATAAAATGACTTATCATAACCTTTAACCAATAAACCATGTCTTAAGCTGGTGGAATGATTACTTTTACAATGGATGTGTGGCATTACCTTGGACCCTTTATGATGACGATATTTGGATTGCAGATGCTCTCTCCTCTTTGGTGTTTTTCAATGACTCAACTGTAACGACAAAGACTCCAGAAACGAAAGTTTTGTTTACGCAGTGCTCTTCCTTCATGGTGAAATAATACGGAATCAAGTGAAGGTTCTGAAATTTGCATTTTGATAGCTGCTCCATCTTATTTCTCTTATAGCAGAGTTCTGACCCTCTTCTGATGCATGTTTGGCATCACATATGAAGGTGATTTTAAATATCGATGGATGCCTTAGAGCCAGATATGGTTGGATATAAACTGAAATTCCTTTCCAGATGTTTTAGTAAACATCTGGGCCATTAGAGGTAGTCTGTACAACAGTTCTAGACTACATGTGTGCGTGTGTGTGTGTGTGTGTGTGTGTGTGTGTGTGTGTGCGCGCGCGCTTGCCTTGCCTCATTGTTAGATAAGAAAATGTCTCTGGGTACTTTCAGATGGAGTGTAAGATCTTTAGTTTGTCCCTGTCCCTAATGCTTCTTATACCCAAACACTCATTCCCCTCCCATCTCCTCTTACACTATTGATCTGGCTCCAGTAGGCATTAGAGTTTGCTGTACCTGGATTCTAGTCAATCATTTGCCAAGATGGTTGGATATCGAGAAGACATCATATGAGGTTAAGGAACACAGTGTTTTTTGCCTTGACTTCTCTAGCTCCTTAACTCCTTGCACATTTAGTTACTCATGACTGCTGTCAGTGAACAGAAGACTGGTTTCAGTAGACAGAGGGTGACCTTTTAGGTTTTTTTTTTGGTCTTTTTGAGACAGGGTCTCCCTGTAGCCCCAGCTGTCCTGGAACTCACTATGTAGAACAGGCTGGCCTTGAACTCACAGAGATCCGCCTGCCTCTGCCTCCTGAGTGCGCCACCGCGCCCGACCCCCTTTTGGCATTTTTATGTGGATCATTACCTATTTGTCTTCTTCAGCTCATGGTCTCTTGGTGGCAGTAACGCCATGTGTAGGGTTAGCTCAGTTCTTTCCCTGGAAGTGTGCCTGGGTCCCCTTAGGAGAAGCAGACTGTTCTCCATTGGATGGATTGAGTGCACTTAAACCTTACCTCTGTGTCTTTCCATGATGTCGAGTGGTCCCTCATACCCCTTTCTCTGTGATTAGTTCACATGGATGACAAGGGCTCTATTTGTTGACAAAAGTGTTCAAAGAGAAAGCTCTCTGTTGTGTCTGTGGTACCTAAGGTGAAACTTACTGACACGGACCTAAGAGCACCTCTGTGCCAGTGTTCAGTTTGTCAGTATTTCCCAAAGCTCTGTCTCTAAAGAATGGAATACTTTAGGGCCCAGCATGGTGGTGCACGCCTTTAATCCCAGCACTTCGGAGGCAGAGGCAGGCGGATCTCTGTGAGTTCAAGGCCAGCCTGGTCTACATAGTGAGTTCCATGTCTCAAAAAGACCAAAAAAAAAATCCCTGTCTCCCAAAAAAAAAAAAAAGAAAAGAAAAGAATACTTTAAAGATGTGAATGCATCTTCAGGCAGGAGGAGGTGTGATGTACGTCTTTCCTTCCTTATGTACAGAGCTATACACGTGCAGTTATGGGTTATGTTTGTGCAGTGTCTATAATAAAATGTTTTCATTTCATCCCATAGAAAAATAATAGAATAATTTTTATTTGTTGAAAGACATTTATATTAGTTACAAATGAACTCTACAGTAATGACCACAGGTAACTTCACTGTAGTACAATACACACACCTTGTGCTCTACAAATTCATGCACTAAAAATAAGAGTTTATGGAGGAAAACAGGGATGAGGCAGGTCATTGAAAACCTATGGAGCCTTGCAACCAGAACATTGGCAAAGCCAAAAATAAATCTAGCACAATACGCTGGCTGGTGGTTGCTCTTACCAAGTCAGATCCTTTACAGTGTTCCTCTAGAGCTCACATCTCTTTTTTTTCCTCTGTAGATAACCCAGGGCATTTGGTTCTGATAAAGAACATCTCTGTCAAAGTTAAATCTGGTCCACAGAGTGTAACTTTCTTCATTTAATTGTGTAGAGAGAAATGTCTCCATAGCTTCACCATGCAGGTCGACACGGTGGCACATGCCTACCAAATCAGCCACAACTCACCTTAAAAGAAGGCAGATGAGCACATTTCAAGGTTTGTTCTAAGGTCTCCATCCATAAGTCTCTTTCCTTGTGAGAGTGATTGCCTGTGACTACTTCAAAATATTAATATTAACAAGCTAGGGAAAATTGCATCTGAATCTAAATACCTTGTGATACTAGTATAACTTTCCTAGTTAATCATTCACATTTAAGGAAATTCCTGTCAAAGATACAACTTGAATCTGCATACCAGAACTTAAAAAGAGATGCCTGTCTTCCACAGAAGACACAACCACCACTTGAGTTGGATTCTTGGAATCTGATTGGATCTAATTCAGTTGGATTCTAGTCGTATCTAAATTAATTTGGATTGGGTATAGAATTCTCTCAC